CAAATGAATCTCAATGTCTATTTGGTAGCGATATATGGACAGCAGCTAGGGGTGGAAATCGGTACGGTATAGGTATCCCAATACCAAATACTGAAATCCCGAATACCGAATTACACCCTAAAATCAATCCCAATCCCTAAATAATTTCGGTATCCTAATCCCAATCCCTAAATATTTCGGTATCCCAATCGGTACCTTGGTATCCCAATCGGTATTATCGAATACAAAATTAATTACCTTTGCAATTAATAATTAAATATATAAATTTGATTTTATTGTTTAATTTAGGGCAAAGAGACTAAACAATGAGTCTTGAGTTGCCTAGAGCTAACATCTCAAGTTCTTGTAATTGGTGATCTTTAATTTGACAAATTTGAGGTTGAGAGACGACTAATATTAGTGTGAAATAGTGATGTAATGATATATGTATAATTAAATGACACTCTTAGTGGTTGAGCGTAGCATAGTAGTGAATGAGAGAGTCTAGTTGAGAGGATAAAATACACACTAGCTTATATTTTAGTATTGATCGGTATTTCGGTATATACCAATCCCAATCCCGTAATCCCTAATGCCGAATAACATTTGAAATTCAATCCCAATCTCAATCCCAAAAAATAATATGTGTATTCGGTAATACCAAATATAGACAAATTCGGTACGGTATTCGGTATATCCCAAATACCGGTACCAAACTTCCAGCCCTAACAGCAGCAACACAATCCTGACAACCACCACAAATGACATTCAAATGTAGTAAATCGTCTAAAGGAAGAGTTCTCACCTTGTTCACACCCCAATATATAACTTGTTCCGTCGACTCGCCAATCACAATTTTCCATGCATAAAGATCAAGGCATCAGAATGAACGACCGAGCAATCTATATAGGTCACTCTCGGCTAGTGGGGTCATAACCATTTTGATGAAAAATATGTGTATATACTCGTACACTTCAACCAGTCTCTTCACCATGACGGTAGCCTCTAAATGCTAGAGTTAACAAGGATGAGTGTGATGTCACCACTATCTTGTCCAGAGGTATTAGACTCGGGTTCAAATGACTGGCTAGGATCTAGGACATGGGAAAAAGGCTTTCCTGGGTGGTGGCACAAGAAGCATGAGGTTCCGCAATTTTACCTAGAACCTATTCACAACAATCAAAGACGACTTGCAACAACCACAAACCACTTTTTTCATAATTTCAAACCACAACCAATCATGAAAACTATCCAAGTACACTTTATTTGCTACAACTGTTATTGAACCTATATAAGCACAAGAATGAAGGAGGTAAACAATCATGTTTGTGATCCTAAGATTGACTGCTAAGAATCACAATTTTTGAGCATGAGCGAATTTGTGACCACTCTCTCCTTGTCTCTTTTTCCTCTTTATTACTTTCTTCTTTTTCTTCCTTTTCCAACTTCTTTCTCTTTTTTTTTTCTTGAGAGGAAAAAGAGAGTTAACGAAAGAATGCCACATTCTTTAATGTTTATTACCACATGCTCTCTTTTAAGAATTTCCTTCAGCACTCGTTTTCACATTTAGCAGAACCATGCTATGACTAAGTATTATTTATTACTTGGGTGGGGCATCCTTATCTGTTGGATTAATTTGGTTATTGGGTTTTGCACATTCTTATTATGATAAATGTTTTATTCGTTTTATTTTTTTTTCAATTCAGCTTACCGATATGGTTAAGTGGGTATGGTGGCTGTAGGGTTAAGTTGCACCAACTTCATGGGCTTGTTGGGCCTAGTCAAGGCCTTGGTTTGTTATCCCTACAAATAGTAAAAGTTAAGTTAGGGATTCGACTCATGTAAAAAATGTATTAAAGAGCTGCCCGTATAGTGACAAGACTGTTCTATTATCGTCGGTCAGTGGTGGCTCAACGAACATTTTTTCTATTGTAATTTTGTAAATTCAGCCTGTAAGGCTTTATTTTTGTATTTTATTTCTGCTATTTCCCTTTCTCTTAAAGATATCTTGGACAAAAAACCATGGAAGAAGAGAAAAATCTTTTGAAGCCCAGCCCAAATCTGACCAAACTGGAGGCGGAAACGGTTGGGCCGTCTCATTGATCTGAAAACTGGTCTAGGCGCAGCCATATCTGAATCTTCCATCCTCATTGGCGGTTCTATCAGCAATTGCGATATTCGGTACGGTACATCTCTCTCTTTTCTATCTATCTATCTTTCTATCTCCTCCAGCTTGACCAAGGAGGATCGGTGACCGCAGAAGAAGCTTAAGCTGCTGAGGAAGATCGAAAATGGCAGCTACACTTTCAGGCGTCGGAATCGGATTACGGCCATCCACATCTTCTTCTACTCATAAACATTCCCAGCACGCGCAGAGAAGAAACTGGAGATCGTCCGTTAAAATGACGGTCTCCATCGAAGAGAAAAAGCAGAAGAAATTCTCCCTCCAGAAATCTGAAGAAGCCTTCAATGCTGCCAAGGTACCCGAAATCCCCCTCCACCCGATTTTCCGTCATTTCCCAGTTTCACTTCTCAGAATCGTTAGTTATAAGTAAGAAAGATGGAAATTTATGGCCTCTGTTCTGGGTTTTGACTTTTCCATCATCGGCTGCCTGTAATCCCTCTTCAGATGCTTACTTTTTCTTTTCTGCTATTTTCACCTTTGGTTTGAATTGCTCAAAATGTTGCCTTCGAAGCAGCAGTAAGGCTGGTATGCTTGAAGGGAAGCAATCCTGCCCTATAAAATTCCAGTAGTTCTGTTTGAAGACTCGCTTATCGTTCGGACTTTTTCTTTTTGGCTGCGTTTCTCTCTGGAATTGTTACTGCTGCGGTTGTTGACTCTGTGTATTAACTGTTTCAGGAGTTAATGCCAGGAGGTGTTAATTCACCAGTCCGTGCTTTCAGATCTGTTGGCGGGCAACCAATCGTGTTTGATTCTGTAAAGGGCTCTCACATGTGGGATATAGATGGAAATGAGTATATTGACTATGTTGGTTCTTGGGGTCCAGCCATTATCGGCCATGCTGATGATAAGGTCTCATTCTTCTCTCTTTTACACTTCCTCAAGTTCAAGAATGTGCAGTATATTTTTCCATGTTGCTACCATGTTTCGTTCTTACTTGTTCCACTTCCTCGCAAGAGCGGTATTTGGCGGTTTGGGTGTTACCTCCCTTTTGTGTGAAACTAAAAGGGACGAAAATTGGATCGTGTGGATTTTCCACTTACTTGTCCACAACACATTTAGTTTCTCTAGCTCATTGCAACCAAATTGTATCCCCACTGGCCCTTTTGTGGTCGTGCTCTAAGTGTTCAGATTGCATGGACTGATAAGCTTCTTGTAGGTGATTGCAGCGCTGACTGAAACCATGAAGAAAGGGACAAGCTTTGGCGCCCCTTGCCTCCTAGAGAATGTTCTAGCAGAGATGGTGATCAAAGCAGTGCCTAGCATTGAAATGGTGCGATTTGTCAACTCGGGCACTGAAGCATGCATGGGTGCTCTTCGCCTTGCTCGTGCCTTCACTGGCCGAGAGAAGATCATCAAGTTTGATGGTTGTTATCATGGGCATGCTGATCCATTTCTTGTGAAGGCGGGAAGTGGTGTTGCAACCCTAGGGCTGCCAGACTCCCCTGGGGTCCCCAAGGCGGCCACATATGAAACCCTGGTTGCGCCCTTCAACGACCTTGCAGCAGTGGAAAAACTCTTTGAGGCCAACAAAGGAGAGATTGCTGCCCTTATTCTGGAACCTGTTGTTGGAAACTCGGGTTTCATTCCTCCTAAACCTGACTTCCTCAATGCCATCCGCAAGATTACCAGAGAGAATGGTGCCCTTCTCATGTTTGATGAAGTCATGACTGGATTCCGATTGTCATATGGTGGGGCACAGGAGTATTTCGGGATTACTCCTGATATAACGACGCTTGGGAAGATTATTGGCGGCGGGTTGCCTGTTGGTGCATATGGAGGAAGAAGGGAAATCATGGAGATGGTTGCACCAGCAGGGCCAATGTACCAAGCTGGGACCTTGAGTGGTAACCCATTGGCAATGACCGCAGGTTTACACACTCTAAAGCGGTTGCAGGAACCAGGAAGCTATGAGTACTTGGACAAGATCACGGGTGAACTCGTTCAAGGCATTCTGGAAGCTGGCAAGAAGGCTGGGCATGCAATGTGTGGTGGCCACATAAGGGGAATGTTTGGTTTCTTCTTCACAGAAGGACCAGTTTACAACTTCGATGATGCAAAGAAAAGTGATGCTTCAAAGTTTGCCAGGTTCTATCAAGGGATGTTAGCTGAAGGGGTGTACTTTGCACCTTCACAATTCGAGGCTGGGTTTACTAGCCTGGCACATACTGGGGAAGATATACAACGTACCATAGAGGCTGCTGAGAAAGTTTTGAAACAGATTTAAGTTTATGAGAGTCCCCTTACCCTCCCTGGTCTTTTGTATCTCAGAGAAGTTTGATTTAGGCTGTCTGTGTTTTGGCTTATTTTTCACTTGTACCACTCATTCCTTGTTGGAGATGGAAGAACCGAATGCATTACCCTCTTGTAACTGAGTTCTAGCGATCTTGTCTTTTTTCCCCTTGTAAAATATGGAATTCAGTTAAGGAATCTTTATTCTAGCACTCTCAGTTGTCCATATTTGTGTGATGGAGCAAGATGACCATTTTTCTTCATTTGCATGGGATTTGCATTCTTTACATTCATCTTAAACTGTTAGATGGCAAGTACAAACAATTTGATAATGGTTTTATTATAATCATTTCTCAGTTTGGAAGTTCCAATCTGATTAACCTCAAAATCAAATAGGAAAATGAAGCTAAATGGAGATGATCTCCCAAAACAAGGGTGGGTAGCAATAAGCTATCTTAGCAGTTAAATCCACCTCGTTGATTGCATTCAATACAGAGCAGAGCAGATTGCACAGTGGGTTAGAGGGTCTCATCAATTTCAGTATTTGGAATTTCTGTCGCCAAAGAAGAACATTCTTTCACAGCTATATTTAGAGGTTTTTCATTGACAACTTTCCTTTCCCCACACAAGGCCATGGATGACATTCGCATTAACTTCCTCTGGTGCACTTGGAATAAACTCAACAGCTCTCATCTGTAACTTTAAAACTACTGGTTCTTGTATAAAAATGCAACTCCTGGAACCCTTTATTTTTTTGTCCACAACCCTCATGGCTGCTCATAAGACAACTCTCTGCCTCGTCCTACTAGCTGCTTGCCTGGCAGCAGCTACCGGCGGCAAGCTTTCACCGGAGTACTACTCGAGCACCTGCCCTGGGGCACCGGCCATAGTCCAAGCTGGTGTCGTGGCAGCTTTGAAGAACGAAACCCGGATGGGAGCATCTCTCCTTCGTCTGCATTTCCATGACTGCTTTGTCAACGTGGGCACAAATGCATATACTTTTATCACCTTGATTTCCTATCTACGCATTTCCTTCAAGCTGGAATGTTCTTTCTGGCAGGGTTGTGATGCATCGATTCTGCTGGACGATAACGCGACGTTCGTTGGTGAGAAAACTGCATCTCCTAATAACAAGTCTATAAGAGGGTATGAAGTGATTGACAAGATCAAGGGCCAAGTCGAGAAAGAGTGCCCTGGGGTTGTGTCATGCGCTGATATACTTGCCTTGGCAGCCAGAGACTCTGTTGTCTACGTAGAATGCTTCCTTCCTCTCTCATTATTATAGTTACTATCATCATTATTTGCTTCTCGAGTGCAGAAAATCCTGAATCCTGATGGGTTTCGAATAATCGGACAGACTGCTGTATGTTGTTTTGCAGCTGGGAGGGCCGTCATGGGAAGTTAGCTTGGGAAGAAGGGATTCCCTCAATGCAAGCAAAGAAGCTGCCGAAGTGTCCCTTCCTGAACCAACCTTCAATCTAAGTGATCTAGCCGTTAACTTTTGGGCACAGGGCCTTTCTTTCAGGGACATGGTTGCGCTTTCAGGTAATCAATCCTGTATTCAAATCAATGATGGGACTGATTCTATGTATTAGATTGTACCTTTGATTTGTGCAGCAAACCTGCTCACTCACTGTCCTGTAGGTGCACACACAATAGGAATGGCGAGATGCACAACGTTTCGAGACCACATCTACAATGATTCCGACATCGAACCTTCCTTCGCAAGGTCGCTGCAGCAGTTTTGTCCTCCCAGGGGACACGACGATGTGCTTGCTCCTCTCGATCTCCGAACTCCGGCCCAATTTGACAATTCCTACTACGTCAACTTGGTGAACTACAAGGGCCTCCTTCACTCGGATCAGGAGCTCTTCCATGGCGATTCAGCGGATCGTTCACTAGCGAGAACCTTGTACGAAAGCGATCGACCTTCAGGAGGGTTCTTGAATGGTGATGATGGCTTGGAAGAAATGGGTGGTGGCACAATCAAGCCCTTCATGGATAACCCTGCAGCAGCCATTGTAAGAAACTACGCGGACGAGCCTGCGGTGTTCTTGGATGATTTCGCTAAGGGTATGATCAAAATGGGCGAGATCAAGCCCCTCACTGGAAGTGCAGGAGAGATCCGGAAATTTTGTGGTAAAGTCAATTGAGGAAAACATGGTTTGTGCTCTTTTTTAGTGGTGAAGAGCGCAAAAGAATAAGAGGTCACTTGAAATAATCATCATTCAGATATGGTAGCTGGGTTGCCGATGATGAGTAACTTTCATCATTCACTTATGTCGTACAATTTATAACATGTTTGGAATCAGTGTTTTTTAATAAATAAATAAAAAATCTAATATGCTTTTTTATAACTAGTACAATGCTTGGTTTGTTGGACGACAGAATTTCATACTTATGTATGTGTGGACCCAAATTAAAGTATACTAGAATCAATACCCACGGCTACGCTGCGGGAAATATATTGATGTCAACGTGGGGAATATTTAGCTAATATAATGTTTAGATGTTTAGCTAATAACATGTCTAGTCGTATCTTTTCAAAATATTTTTTTTTACAGAATCAAAACAGTATATTTCATTGGTGCATTTACGTGCTTGGTATACAAATATGATATCTTATATGTTTTATAAAAAAACTTATTAGGCAAGACGAATTTAATGAGCGAGCATCCACATTAGAATTGTAATTTAAATTGCATTATCACATGACATTCATTTGCAATTGTATTGATGTACATGATAATTGCATCTTTGGAAGCTTGTCTCTAATCAAATTAAAAATTGAAAGCCATATCATCTTTTTTATTATTATATTATTTCTGATTTTCCTTTTTAATTTTTATATTTTTATAATTACATTCAATAGCCAATTGCAAGTTAATTGCATTGATGTGGTGCAATAAAAGTAATATAAGTTGGATCACAAAGAAATTTAAATGACAATAAAGAACACAAATGCAATTCCATATATAATTGCATTGATGTGGATGCTCTAACTATTCTTTACAAATATTCTTTACAAATGGTAAGATTATAACACACTGGACCATGTTGGGTGAAATTATCTTAAGTAGTCAATTGCATCTAGTTCTTTGCTACTCCATCATCCGGTTTCTCCGCGTTGACTTCTTGCAAAGGATAAACAAACCTAAAGCCAGTTGAACTAAAAGAAATCAGATTGCAGAATGTTATAAACGCTTATACTGACTAGAACCATAATAAGTATGATGAAAACCAACACTTACCAAATTTGTATTCTCCGAGAAGAGGAGCATTCTCAGCAAAGAAAGTTTTTTTTCCCCTACATAACCACAGGAGAAGCTCATTATAGTTGATATATTTGACTTTCTAACCAGAGCAAAAAAAGCAAGCTAACTAACTGATAATTTAGTGCAAATTCTTTGTTGATATGCATCTTATTAATGAACCACGTAAAATTTCTAATTTTTTCTAGCATACACCATTCCTTACATATATAGTACTTTCCCTTTCTCCATCGCTAAGTCTTAAAGCACTTGAGCACTTGTTGAGGAAGGCAACTCTCAGTCTCTCACTGTCTCTGTTCTGGTGTAATATATTAACCCCTTTGCTTTGCTGTTGCTGGTTGTTGAATCACTTGAGGAAACACTACCACTGCCTTCACAATCTCAACCCCACCTCCAATTACTGAACAAAGCGAGAGGGTTTCAGAATTATTATTTATTGGCAAAAAGGCAAACAAATCGAATGACTTGCATATTGCAAGACCCAAATCGGTGTTGTCATATTTTCGAGCATGATCTGTGCTGACTTGCATATACTTTTTGAAGAGATTTGACAAAGCATTCTCTCTGAAAGCCAAAAAAACAAACCTAAGTGTCATTAACGATTTTATAATGCACGTGAATCTTGGATCACGAACAAAATCTAGGGAGGAAAGCTTGATCAACCATTAACTTCTGGTGATTTCTTCTGCTCTTTTGCAGCCTGGGTCTGATACTATATAAAAGTCTATTCCTACCTTCCCTTTTTTGTTGAACTTAACCACATGGCTACAGCGCAACCGGTGAAAGAAATCAGGACAGAGATCAACAATTTCACTTGCAGAATTAGTTTCAAGGAAATAGAGTACCTGATCAGGTTGGTGAGTATTTGTCTAATCCTTAGTACATCTACAGCGACCTAGAAAATTTCAACCAGAAAATATGGCTCTTGGCAGCTGAAATTTTTCCTATATGGAGTTATGAAAACAGTTAAATCATGTCTCACCTCCATTGGAACGTCATCTGCTATGGTTCCTTCCAGGATTAGAACTTTCTGCAATCAAGAAGCAGTTGTCTGCAAGACATGATTGACCAGTGACCACTTCTCTAGGCCGGAATTGGGTGGCTTCCAACCCTAGGCGATAGATACATTAGATTCTTCTGCAGTTGTACTTGGGCTCCACTTAGTTAAGATCAAGACAAATAAGAAATGAAATAAATCATGAGCACCCAACACCAACTGGTCATGCAAAGACAATAAACCGCATTAACATAAGAACTCAGGATCATGAAATACCTTTTGTTTGTTGTAAGGACTCGTTTTCCGAGCAAAAGTAATAAACCACCAGGTAATGAAAAATGATAAAAAATAACAAACCTGTCCAAAGCCTTCTGCAAGGGTACTGAAGCAAAAAAATTAGAAGGAATACTCATACATGCTTTCCATGTATAAAACCTTTGGTAGTCGTATAATTTGTCACTGAAATCTTCACTGTGTCTTCCTGGAAAAGCAATCACCAGTGAGTTTGTGCGACCATAAACGAACTCTGTTAGAGAGCCCCATGTACTCTTTGCTGAAATAAATCAATATTCCACAAACCAGTCCAAGAAGGTAGAAGACAACATGAGTTTCTATAGAAGCAAAAGACAAAAAGGCAAGTATCTTGGTGGTAACGATTCAGTTAAACATATTAACAAAAGGCTTAAGCGAGACGTACCAGTTGAAAATTGGACAGATAGAGCCATAGAGACCTTCCATCTTTTTTATGCACGTTACCTTTTTGGCACCCATGTTGTCTGCAACTTCCAGAGCTGTCGCATTGAATGAATTCCTTTGTTGCTGATGCAAAATAGAAAGGCAAGAAGTGGGTTCTGCGATCAGTAAGAAACAGTAACAAAGAAGGACATTAATGTCAAGAACCAGTTGATCTCAATAACTCGAGTTGTTGGGAGAGGTTCAATCGTGGATCATATACCACAACACTAACACGCCCCCTCAAACGAAAGCCACTCACAAGAAGAACGCTAGCAAAAACACATACCCCCTGCATCCATCGCCACCATCGTGGTCAGCTCCTTCTTCGAACGCCATATTCATGCCGTCGGCGTGTCATTGTTTTCGTTCGGCATGTAAGAAACCATTTTTCCCAAAATTGGATGGAGGTGGCCGATGGATTTCTGAGGAATTTTTCGGAGCTGTGTTCGGGAAAATAGGTAAGAAAGGGATGAGAGGCAAGGTGGTCGCTCTCGTTCAGGCTTTCTGTCTCACAGAGGCCGCAGTCAGGGAAATTTTAGGGTTTGCAATGCAAGAGAGAAGGGGATTGTGGAGTGGGAAGCATTTATCTCCCACCAAGTACAATCGCAGTCAATCGCTGGAGAGAGGACAATATTATAGAAGCAGAAGGAAGGTAGTGTGGTGAAGCAATCAAGCATGGATTGGATGTACTGGAAAGCAAACCGAAGCAGCAAACTGACAGGTAAGACGTGCCCTTTCGGATTTGCGGATTCAAAAGTGAAAGCATGGGCCTAGTGTACTGAAACATGATGGAGTGGAAAGGGGAAGGTCTGTTCGGCCAAGTCGGTCAGCTATTCCAGAAGCAAGCGGAGGAGGTTGTTGATGGGTGAAGCCAGAGGGAACAGTAAGAGAGGTGGAGAGAAAACGACAAATAGTGAAACAGTAACAATTTTTTGGGTGAATAAAGTGTACCCAGCTTTTACATATAGAAGAATGCATGGTATAAGTAGCTTACTTATCTTCTTATTTTTTACGTTTGGAATGGTTTTGTTTGAAAAGTTGGCGATGAAAATTTAGGACAACACTAAAATTAAAAGGATAAATATTAATTATTAGCCAAATATTTTCCGTATTTTAAAATATTAGCCAAATATTTTGAAATATAATTTATTTATTTGGAATGTTTTATTTTCCTTTTTTTAATTTATTTGGAATAAATTATAATTAAAATTAATTCCAAAAATTAATTGGAATAAAATTGGTCGAACCAACTTCCTATACTACCAGTCGGACATAAACTCAAATTTTGAGGTGTTATACCAGACTTGTTTGCTTTTCACATCCAACAAACAACTTTGGTGAGGTACCAGGGCGGCTCCAGCACTGCAGATGTGACGGATTGCTAGATGGTACGGGGGATGAGGCATTGAAGCAGTTGAGGGAGAATTTGGCAGCCTCGAACAACCAGATGAAGCAGTTGGCCGATTCTGGGAGTCGGGAAGAGAGGTTTCAAGTTGGTGACTGGGTGCTATTACGGCTACATCCATACAGACTAGGTGGGTTCAGCGAGGTGGGAAGCTGCTGGAGGAAAGTTTGATTCGTTAGGAGCATGTGGAGGTCGACGATGCCACGTGGAAGGACACAGAGATCATTTGACAAAACTATCACGCATTCGACCTTGAGAACAAGGTCAGTCTTTCGTAGGGAAATATTGTTAGAAATCCGCTAGCTGATGGGTCAGGTTAGAGGGGGCCTCGACCCTACTTAATATTTTCGGGTACTCTATGTTGTTTTGGGCACTATTTAAACTTTGGATGGTCTATTTGTCATATTAAGCAAAGAATGTTATTGATCCATAAATCTCTATCTCTTCTCCCCTCAATTTATCCGTAATTTCTTCCCAATTCTTCTAAGTTCTCAATGTCTTCTCTATCAATTTCCCCAACTAAGCAGGTTTCTTACAGAAGCCAATGAGAGGTCAGAACAAATTGCAGAGAAGTCAGCTGAGGACATGGATCAAAATTATGTTAAAGCTGCTTTAACTGCTCTAGTTATAAATAAGTCGTGAATAAGCAGCTTGTTGGTTTAGAAACTATCCGAATGAACGTTGAAGGGAATGGGAAAAACAAAGACTTAATCTAGTTGTAAGACAACATATGATATCATGATA